GAACAGCTGGCCTCCTAAATTGTGCGAAGCTGGCTGTAGTGAGCACGTGCGCCTTCTCCTCTGGATTACGCCTGGTGTGGCGAAGTCTGTGCCAGCACACGGCTCGAGGAGCAACGTGGTTGGCGATCCTGACCTCGGCAAAAGGTTGCTAGCCGAGCCTTGGCAGTCATAATCGAGGTCGTCGAACGGGTCGTGGTCGGGGTCGTCGAGGTAGCATTGTGCTCCTCTGGCCTTGTCGCGGCTTGGTCCAGCTCTTGGGTCGACGTCCCTCTTGTCGTCGTCCTGGCTGGCCTCGTGGACGATCCACTCCTGGTCTGCGACCTGCTCCGTCCAGCCGTTGTCAAAGCATGCCCAGTTGTCCCGCACTCCTGCTACGTTCTGGCGGTGTACCTCATGCGCAGGATGCCGTGCCTCAAGCTGGTCATCTGGGGCCGTGACATCTTGTCCCCTCCTGCGCCTTCCATCTTCTTCTCCTCCTGGGTGAGGTCTGCCGTCCAGCCCCCGCCGCCGCCTGGCTCCTTCTGATGGGGCTTGGCTGCCCAGGAGGGCCCTGAAGTGGTCCTTCACCTGGTCGAGGTTGCGCCAGTGTTCGGCCACCAGCCCATCTCGACTAGCGTGTTCACCTTGTCGATCCTGCCAGTAGATCCAGCGCAGGCGTCCTTCCCGCCTGTCTCTTGACTCGTCCCACGCGTCGTCGCAGATGTCCTCGGCGATGCGCTGGATGGTCCTCACGATGCCGGCGTCTCGTCCTTCCTGGACTCGGAGCAGGAGCTCACTGTCCTGTCTCAGGCGTTACACGATGCAGGGCACGCACCATGCCCTCCAAGAGTGCGCCCTGGCATGGGCATCCACGAGGTCGTCGATCCATCTGCTGGCCTGGTCCTCTGCCTCGTCGGCGAGCTCCCTGCATCTCCTCGAGATCGCCTCGGGCAGCTCGCGCGGTGGGCCGCACACGTCGCCTGGCGCCTGCTCCAGCAGGCTGCCGCCCTCTACCTGCGGGCCGGCGCCCTCTCGACGGCAGCGGGCTGTGGGGGCGGCCAGGGTGAGCGGGGCGCTCGAACCTCTCCTCCTCCTCCACCTCCTCCTCCTCCTCCACCTCCTCCTCCTCCTCCACCTCCTCCTCCTCCGGCTGCCGCTTGGGCGGTGAGGGCATCGGCCGCCCCCTGGAGTGGGGCCTCACTTGGAGACGGGCTCGCAGGGTGTCGAGCGTCCGCCTGGCGTACTGCGTCACCTCCGTCGACGCAGTCAAGGATGCCACGGTCGTCGCTGCGGTCGTCGCAGTGGGTGTGGGAGCTGCCCAGTGCTCCCCGCCGCTCCTGCAGCACGCTGAGCCTCGCTGGGGTCCTCCTCTTGGAGTGGTCGTGTGGCTGCCCCTGGCTTGGGGGAGGGGTTCTGGGGTGCTCCAGGAGCTGCTCCCAAACCCCGCCCTGGCCAACACGCCGCCCCTCCTGTCACTCGCAGCCCTCCCTGCCCGCGCTGCCCCTCCAGCGACGGCGCGCTCTCCTCCCCTCGCGCCGTCGGCGGCCCCACGGGCGGGGCCCGCGGCACTCGGAGGGCCCACGGACACTGCGCGTGACGTCCCAGTCTTCGCGCCTGTCGCTGGCGGAGTGCACTGCGTGTCCTCGAGGATGTCACCGAAGAGGTCCTCGACCTCTTGGTCCAGCTGGTAGTGTGCGGCCAGCGCACATGGCTCACCTGCGGGTGCACCAGCAGCGGCCGCATCCGCCCCTGCTTCCCTCGTCGAGGCGTGCCTACCCCGCACGCTGTTTACCTCGTGGGTGCACCCGGGGGCAGGCTCCAGCAAAAAACTTGGCGACTGAGCCCTGCCCCTCTCGCTGTTTACTTCGAGGGTGCTCCTGGGGGCTGGGACTTGCGTTCTAGTACCGGCGGCTTCCCGTTCCGTGTCAGCGTGGGGCTTTGGCGAGAGCCGCTTCGGGATCAGCGGTTCGCACGAGGTCAGGCCGATCTCCTCTTCTATTTGAAAGGGGGGGGTGAGGGAGGAGGATGAGGTGGCAGATGCGAAGGAAAACAAATAGGTGGGCGACGGATCGAGGAGGAGTAAAAGGAGCAGGAGCAGCAGCATGATTAGGAGGAGGAGGAGGAGAAGGAGCACGATGAGGAAGAGGATGCGGATGGGTGGCAGTACAAGGCGGAGTTCAAGCAGGAACGTGAGGATGGTTGGTGAAGGGAATGAGGAAGAGGATCGGACAAGGAGGTGGCTCGGTAGCAGGAGCAGAATCAGAAGGAAAAGAAGCTGCAGCAGCAGGCAATGGCCTCGATAAGGCCGGGATCGAGGAGGAAGAAAAGGGGCACATCGACAACGAAAAGCACGGTGAGTATTACGGGGGTGGCGTGGCGCAAAGGGCCGAAACGGTTCCGCGGAAAGAGTTGTACGGAACATTACATCCACCTAAAACGTCCGCCGATCGCACGTTTCTGTGGAACAGTGTTTCCGCGGAAAGGGTCTTGAGGAGAGGGTTACGCGGAACATGCGTCCGCCGACTAGGCCTCGTACACCCCTCTTTCCCCCTACCACTTCCTCTTCACGTCTCTGCTTCATCCTTTTCCGCCACCTCTTGCTCCTCCTCCCCCTGCTTCGAAGTCCCCTCATCAGCCTTCCGATCACCCAGTCCTCCTCCTCCTCCTCCTCCTCCTCCTCCTCCTCCTCCTCCTCCTCTTCCTCCTGCTCCTTGTCCTCCTCCTCCTCATCATCATCAGCATCCTCATCCTCAACCTCATCCTCAGCCTCATCCTCCTGTTCTCCACATCTCCAACCTCTACTTACACTTCCCCCGCACCTTCTCAGCCCCCCTTCCCGCTGCTACCCCTGATGGAAACCTCATTGCCCCCGCAGACACGGGCAAGTGAGGGAGAGGAGCATGAGGAAGGAGGGGCGCAAGAGGTACATTGAGAGGAGGAGGAGGAGGACGCAGAAGAAGAAGGTGGACGGGGAGGATGAGGGGGGGGTAGAAGAGGAAGGAGGAGAGGAGAAGGGAGGTGGATGAATGACCTCTCCTGATCCACTCGTCCTGGCCTCAGCCCCAAGAGCCATTCGGGCCCTCGGTCGGTCCTCCGTGGTTGCGCCTTGCGCGTGCAGTTCGAGGAGGGCAGGGCTCGACGCTCACGCGCGTCCACATAGAGCATGTCCTCTTGAAGGGGTCGAGGAGGCGGAGGAGGGGGAGGAGGGGGAGGAGGGGGAGGAGGGGGCCCGACACAGTTCTCTTCGCATGTGCGTGAAGAGGGGGCCGAGCCCCCTCCCTTCACTGCCCCTTCATCCTTCC